TTCCTTCCAACTTCAGAACACACAGGCAGAGGGACAGGCAGATGTGGCAGTGACCCATGTGGGCAGAGTCACCGCTGAGCTCACACAGGAATGCACCACAAGGTGGAGGGGACCACCAGGCTTTGGGCCAGGTCAGGAAAGAGAAACGGAGATGGTTTCCAAAGGTGCAGCAGACGAAACTCTGGAAGCCACAGCAGCATTGGTGTGATGTCACATCCTGGTGGATGCCTACCAGGGCCAAGGGCAGAGGGCATGTGAGGCTGGCAGATGGGGTGCGCCTGGTCCCCTCAGGACGTGATGCCACAGACACCAGCCTGCAGAGGCAGGTCAGGGGTGGGCAGGGCCATGCAGAGAAGGGAGCAGATGTGCTTTGGGGACTCCATGGGGGTCACCAGGTCTCCCCATGAGTGGGCCCTCTAGGGAGGTGGGTTTTGTCTCAACTTTCAAATAACCAGCTCTCCCTGCATCCAGTGAGGTTCTCTATCACTAGAATTATTTAAAAACATAGGAATTTACATCTACAGTGTGGTTCCAAAAGAAGCAAATTAGACACTTCCTTCCAGTGCAAGGTTTTAAGAGCCAGGCATGGTAGCCCACACCTGTGATCCCAGCACTCAGGAGGCTGAAGCAGGAGGATCACTGTGCATTCAAGACCAGCCTTAACTACATAGCAGGGTCCTACATTATGGGATTATATATATATTCCCCCTAATGGGCTGTCGGCTGTGAAGTCGGGCTTTGAGCTCGGTCAGGGACCTCACACCGTGACCACTTGCCAGGGCTGACCTTGGGGAACGCTGCTTTCCTAAATGCTGGCATCAAATGGAAATGAACCTTTCTGGGGAGGCTTTGCTATGGAGACACGGAAAGCAATAAATTGAGATAATGTCCATAAAAGCATTGTATGAAGTAAGAAGTGCAGCACGAGCGCGTGCTGTCATTAGATTTTAGGAGCTGAGGAATAAAGCTGAGGACCGTGTCCTTGGCACTGATGGCACCAAAGCCGGGTCGTGGTTCTCTGCTCTCCGCCAGCGCGGGCTCTCAATGCCCACTCACTGCTGCACACAAGCAGGGTCAGCAGCAGGGCCCAGGGGCCGCACTGCTGCGGAAACGGAAAGGGCCATTTTGTTCTGTCTTTCCCAGGACTTGGGCTGCAGCGAGTCTGTAGTACTGGGGCTTGAACCCCAGCCTTTGCACAGAGCTGCATCCTCAGCCCTCTCTTATTTGTTAAGTTGAGGTAGGGTCTTGATAAGCTGTTAAATTGCCGAGGTTGAACTCAAACTTGCAATCCTCCTGCCTCAGCTTCCTATAGTGCTGGGATGACAGGCAAGCAGTCATGCCCGGCCTTCTACTGTCTTACATGATCCCATTAGACAGAATTTGCTGGGCAGTTCCTCCATGTGCCGAGGCTTTTGTGAATCAGAGCTGGGCTCCACAATTCCCTGCCATGGGATGCAAGAGTCATCGCAAGCTGCCTGCTGGGCCCTGGCGCTGCACTCACCGTCGAAGCCCAGATCAGGGTGCTGGCTGGCCCCACAGATGTCACCTTCTGTGTCCTCACAGAGCAGGAGGGGGACAGGAAAGATTCCTCCTCGGGCTGCAGGAGACTGTGTGGGACCCTTCTGCAGCTGTGGGCAGGGACAGAGGGGACTGGCAGGCTCCTCCCCCACCATCATACCCACAGGAAGGGTGGTGAGCAAGTGAGATTTTACAGACTCGCTGGGAGAGTAAATCTGAAATATCAGAACATCATGTGCTCCGATGGGGCACATGCCTGTAATGCCAGAACTAGGGAGGCTGAAGCAGGAGGATGGCAATTTCAGTTCCACCCTGGACAATTTAGCAACTTAGTGAGGTCTTGCATCAAAATAAAAAATGGCCGGGGAAGAAAATCAGTGCCAGGTGTCAATGATGCCTTCTCACCCTGGCCTCACATGGGAAGGGGCGGGCAGGCTCCACCAGGCCTCTTCTAAGGGCACTGATTGTACTCAGGAGGCCCCCCCTGTGACCTACACCTCACAAAGACCCCACTCCTAACGCCATGAGGGGAGCAGGCATCACTGTGACCTTTGGGAGGACGGCAACGTTCAGACCAAAGTAAAAGCCAGCGTGGCCTGGGCCCTAAGTTCAAGTTCACAAGCACTGGGGCTGCTTTCTGTGCACAGGCTCCTTGCTAGGCAGTCTTTGCCAAATATACTTTCTCAAGCCTCTGTGCCCACTTATGTCACCCTCAAAAAGTTCCTTACTTTTTTTTTTTTCAGATTTTTTTTTTTTTTTTTTTTTTTTTGACCAGGGATCAGACTCAGGACCTTACGCTTGTGAGGCAGGCGCAGTACCGCTGAGCTGAGCTAAATTCCTGGCTCCCTGTTAATATCTTTTTTTTTTTTACTTTTCAGATTTTTGAGATTCCAGAGAAAGCCATGGACAGCTCCCTTCTGCACTCTTGGTTTCTCTCACACATACCATGTACGCTGAATAATTTTGCATGCATTTTCATAGGTTAAGGAGCAACCATGCATCAGTTAGTGTTCTGTAGAGGAACTTAGCCAGTATAAAATATGTACAGGCTCAGAGGCTGAGGAGACAAAATGGCCCCTGCATCATCAGATTTGAAGAATCGAAAGTGGCGGCCGGTGAGCTGGACAGATGGGAGAACCCAGCAGAAATTAAGGCGCAAAGGCCTGGAAGCAACCTATAATCACTGGTGCAAGTCTGCATTGGAAGGCTAAAGAAACTGCAGAGTGAGCCCCAAGGCAACGGCAAAAAATGAATCTTTTCTAAAAAATGAGACACTTCCTTCTTTTATTTCACCAGGCGACACGCCCATTGGTTGGTACCTCCCGTGTCAGGCGTGGTTCTACTCTTTCAGTTTGCTGACTTACGTGTCAATCATCCATAGACACACCCAGAATTTACCCGTGGGCCAGGCGGTTCTTACTCAAGTCGACCCATCACAATGAACCACCATACCCAGAAACCCCAACCAGAGACACAGTGGATCCTTTGGATGCGAGCTTTGCTGTAGTCTGTGCCCAGCCTGGGGAACAGTTCCCAATGTGTCTTCCTTCCCGAGGGAAAGTTGCATCTCCTGAACCAAGCAGAGAGCGAGATGAGTCCCAGGCCTGACCAATGGCCACTTCCTCCATTCTGCCCCCTTGTTCCTATCCTGCACAGAAGGATGCTTACGACTCAGGCCCTGAACGGCCTGCCCGGACCTGTGCCTGTTCAGCCCAGAATCCCTTCCAGGTGCCAGTCAGGTACCAAGCTGAGCTGATGACTGAAGGCAGAGGCCTTCTCTTGCCATCAGAAGCAAAATATGGGATGTTCACAGAAAGCTGTGCCAAGCCTTCTTCTGTCTTGGGGAAAAGAGCTGACCTTTGCAGGTCCCTTGCATAAGCTAAAGTCCGGGGCTGAGAAGCGGGGGGCAAGGAGGACCAAGGAGCATGACGGAAGGGATCCAGGAATCACACTGGGAAGGCCAGGTCCCCTTCCCAGCTGGGCTATTGGCCCTGTGACCTCAGTATGTCACTTGATCGCTTTCCTCTGACTAGATTTATATACTTTGTAGTAAGACTTGAACTCAGGGCCTTTGCACTGCTCCATCCTCAGCCCCTTTTTAATTTTTATTTTCTGAGACAGGGTCTCACTAAGTCACTAAGTTGTCCCAGGCTTGGTTGGAACTTGTGATCCTCCTGCCTCAGCCTCTCAGAGGGCTGAGACTATAGCTGTCACCACGCCTGGCTTAGCTCGAAGATGAGGATAATTGTTCTGAGAGACCGGCCAAGAATGAGCTTCACTAACTTTTCTGTGCGTTTATGAGAAAGAATATGAATAATCTTAGCCGGAGCCCTACAGATGGTGGGTCTGTGCCCACCAGAAGCTGGGGCACTGGACCCAGTGCCCCACCCCTACCCTGCAAGGCCATCTCACAAGGACAATGCTGACCCAGGGACGCGGGGTGACCCAGCTCAAGGCCAACCTTCTCAGGGAAACGCTGTGCCACAGCTCCCTGGCCCTGACAGCCAGCCCAGCTGGTAGCTGCATCACCATGGCAACCCCACAGGTGTTCCGGGAAGGAAGGAAGGAAGGGGGAAAGGAAGAGGCCATGGGCAGGAGGGAGCCGATTTTCACTCCCTTTCAGCTTGTCTGCCACAAGAAAGATCACATCACAGGGCAGGTGGTGCCTGGTGCCAGCAGACCGAGAGTCAGCACAGCAGTGCCTGCTCTGTTCCCTCCCTGGCTGGGTCACTCCAGCAAACAGCAGGCCCAGGGATGCAGCCTCTGCCACCCATGACTCCCTGCCCCAACCTGGGATTTGCTATTTCCTCCCTGTTGCTGTTTAAGAGGATTTGTCAGGCCTCATCCCATCTTGGTGGCAGGGATGCTCTCCCTCTGCTTTGGTGCCCCAGCTGGGAAAACGCCCTGCATGGCTGCAGGGCCAGGCGCTCACAGGCAGAGGGTGTCTGCAGAGGGAGACACAGAGCAGTTTGGTCGGTAGAGTGAGAGACCTGGGCACGGTGACCCTGCACCTCTAATCCCACCACAGGAGGCTGAGGCAGGAGGATGGCAGTAAAAAGTTCACAAAGGGACTCGCAAACAGACAAAGCTGCCACCCAGAGCGAGCTGTGGCATGAGACAAGTTTTGGTAGAGGCCAGGGATCACCAGAGCTGTGAGCTGGTGTCTTGGGAGGCTGGACCAGGTGGCCCAGAAATGCCTGTGAAGGGAGTCCCCACTGATACTCTTGCCGTTCACTGCGCAGGTGGAGGTGGGAAAGACGAAGCTGGGCACACGGAGCTGCTACAGAAAGCTCTGGGGACCGGGACATTAGAATTCTGGGAACTGTCAGGTCACCTGGACTGAGCAGATCGCTTCTGTTTGTTTGCAGTGCTGGGGACTGAAGCCAGGGTCTTTGCACTGAGCTACATCCCCACCTCTTTTGCCTTTGTTGAGACGGGGTCTTGTCAAACCGCTAAGGTGCACAGGCTGGGCTCAAACCCGCAATCCTCCCACCTCAGCCTCCCAGTGCTGGTATTACTCAGTTGCACCACCACACCCAGCTCAGAGCTTTTTTCTAAAAGGGAGCACCCTTTCCCTAGATCAGGATGATAAAACTCTCACTTTAACAAGAAGTGAAAACTCAGGGTTCAGGTAGCTTCTCTTCTGCCTAACAGATCCTGGCTGTAGTTCGGGTTATCTGCTTGATAGAAGCAGATGCTGTCTGTGGTCCCCAGCTGACCCCAAGTATCAAGTGGTAAGATTTTCAGCAGTGCCCACAAAGCCAGAATTCCCAGGGTGCACAGAGTCAGAGGGCCAGGAGTTCAAGTCCGGAAAGTGGACAAGCTCTCTGTGCTTCCCGTTACAGGAAGGGAGCGGATCTCCCTGCCGGCATCCCAGGTCACTGGTGCCTGGGACCTTGCGTGAATACAGGAGCTCAGCACACTGCACCTTGTATTATTTTTGCGGCTGAGACAAGCAGAGAGTAAAGGTGCTCTGGTTATGCTGAGGGTCAACACAAGGGCTGCACACCGGTTTACCGGGTGCAGGAGGAGCTTCCCAGCCCGGGGAAAGGAGCTGTGACAGCAGCAGGGAACGGGCGGGCGAGAACAGGGGCCCTGAGACCAGCTGCACGCAGAGGGAGCTTCCAGGGTCCCGAAGGGCACGGCCCTTTCCCTACTTCAGCTTCTCTTTTGCTCCACAGAATCGGTGTAAACTTTGCACGCGCAGTTTGTGAGGAGCAGGACTGAGTCCCAGCACTGCAGTTTCTCAGAGGAAATCCCTGCCTCCTCAGGGTTACAGGGCTCTATGTGGGGACCCCAACTCACCGCTGTCCTGGAACAAGGCCCTTCAACCCCGGGCCTCGGTTTACCAACCCACAGTCAGGTTGTCACACTGATTTCTCACGTGAAGAACGAGCGATCAGCAGAATGTCACGCGGACTGTGTTCTCCCCAGCGGAGGGATCCGGGAGCACAGCTGGCCAGGAAGCAGAGAAGGGAGGAGCCGGAAGGGAGTCTGTATCCTTCCTCCTCCCTGATCACGCCCCGCAGAGCTACATCCTCAACCCCTTTTTATTTTTAGATGGTATCTCGCTAGGCCGCCCAGGCAGGGCTAGAACTTGGGACCCTCCAGACTCAGCCTCCCAGACACGTGCACCAGCACGCCCAGTTCCCTTAACCCGAGACTTAGACCCAGGTCTAGGCTTGCTCTACCCCACAGCACTGACCCAGCCACTGTCCACTCCTCACCCTCTCCCTGTGCACACAGGCACACACCACACGACGTCCTGAGGCTCAGCTGACACACTCTGTGGTTTGTATTCTAGGCCGAAGAGATAGAAATGGAAAGAAAGCAGGGAAGAAAGAATCAGTCCCTGGGAGCATGTGTGAATCCAGCAGGATCAGGAGAAGCAGTCTGGATGCTGACAGGGGCTCAGCTTGATTTGCAGTGCTGGGGACGGCCTTGGCTGAGAGCCAGGTCTCTCAGCCTCACATTCAGGGCTGCCCGGTGACCAGGGCAGCGCGGAAGGTCCTCAGGCCCCGGTGTGTGCCCCGCACAGCCAGCAGGAGCGAGCCCGCCTCAGCCTCGTGCCCGGCTGCTTGAAGCTTTGCTGCCAGCTGCTCCGCATCCCAGCGGCCTTGCTGGGCCAGCAGGTGGCGGACGAGACGAGGGTAGAAGGGAGTGGGGACGCAAGGCACCAGCAGCCCGGCGTCCAGCAGCAGGGACAGCAGCTCCAGGTCACAGTTGGAGTCGTCCACCTGCAAGACACAGACTTGTTGTGAGCAGGCACGTGGATGATCCCTCCCACAGTCGACCCAAGTGCACCCCACCACATGGGCTTTCTGAGGGCACAGGTGTGAGGACACACAGTGTGCTTTTTTTTTTTGCAGTGCTGGAAACCTAACCCAGAGTCTTCACATGTGCTATATCTTCAGCCCTTTTATACAAACTTTTTATTGTGAGACGGGGACTTGCTGAGTTCCTTAGCCAGAACTTGGGACCCTCCTGCCTCAGTCTCCTGGAGGGTATGGGCCACCACACCAGGCTTGTTTCTTTTCACACAAGGAGCCATTATGCCACAGAACCCTGCTCAAATCACCGCAACAGCTGGGTGGAGCTGGTGCTACACCACTGCCCAGCTTCAGGGGAAGGAAACGGGTGCCAGGCTGAGGGCAAGAAGCTGCAGCCGGACGTCTGCCCACCAAAGCCTGCTATGGCGACGACCATGGTTAACATTTCATGCGCTTCCACCATGGTCTGGACTCTTTAACCCCAGTTCTCTCTGGAATACAGATCCACAAGGAATAAATAAATCTTCTGAATGAGAGAACATTTTGTGTTCCGCTGAGAAAGTATGTGTGCCCAGGCCGGTGACAGGAAGTGACTCAATGAGCTTTGGATCGTCCTCCCTGAGGCCTCCACCTCCAGGGCCCTTGGGCTCCGAGAGTCCCGGGCTGCCCTTCTCTGATTTGCTCTGACTCAACCTGCACGTCTGAGACAAGTGGGAGATGAATCCGGAGGGGTCAGAGCCCTGGTGGGCAGCATTGCGCCGGGCAGGAAGGCCAGGCCCACGGGGTCACAGACAGCGCAGCGCCTGCTGCCTGTGTCAGCCGTCAGCTCCAGGAACAGATGCAACCTCGCGGGGCGGGGAAGGAAATCTACTCAGGCACAAAGCGCTGCTGTCTTCTGAGCCATTAAAATGTTATCTGCTTAATTCCTCTCTCCACAATAGGTAATGAAGCTTCTCTGAATTAAAATCCTTGATTTTATGGATCTGCATCAAGCTAAGAGTGATTATGGTAACGAGGTAAGCAGTCACAGAAATTACTTTAAAGAAAGCACCGGATGTGATGTCAGGCTTTGCTTTAGGAGTGCTATTTGCCTTATTTTTATACACACTATTACTTAGTAGAAGTTATTAAAATACGAACCACAGAAGCAGAAGAATAAAGGGACAATGCTATATATGGTTGGAAGGAGGAAAACGCCTGTGGATGATTTTCTGGATCTGGATCTCTTTGGATATGACGGTAAGAATGCATTTTCTATACATTTCGGACACCTCTTAGCCAGATAACCTGGGTTTACAGCAAAGCGAGGGGCTTTGAGGACCCAAGTGTGGTCACCTCTGAGACAGCCGCCAAACGCTGGACTCGGGGGCCCTGTGTCTGGCTGGCTCTGCATCCCTTCTGTGTCTTCCACACAACGGCCTCTCCCTCCGGCACACAGGAGGCTGCTTCATTTTTCTTTCCTGATGCTCAAGGGTCCCTCTCAGACCCCGCTCATAGCATGCCGGGTGGCATGGTGGGGTGCTGAGGAAGGTTTGGTGAGGTCCAGCCCCCCCCCCAGGGGTCCCCTGCAGAGCTGCAGTTGGGACAGATGGGTAAGAGACCGACCGAGCGTGGTCGGTAAGGGACAGAGTTCGGGTGAGGTGCCTGCACTTCCGGGAGAAGAGCCTTGTCTTCAGAGAGCAAGGAAGAGGCCGCGAGGGTCCGCTTCACACTCTCAGCACCAGTCAGGCAGTCAGGAAAATTGAGAGCAAGCCCCGTGTCGCCACCGAGTGAGGTGACAGGACCCCACCCAAGGTCCCTGCGGTGGTGGCAGCCGGGAAGCTGAGGGGCAGGAGCCCAGGCTGGGCATGGAGGTGGGGGAAAACGGACAGTGAGAGGAAGGCATCTCGGTCCCCTGTGCTCCTGTCGACCCTCACAGCCCCTCTTCTGTCCTCCCTGCAGTGGCAGCGGGATACTGCTGCTGTGAGCGCGTCACACATGCACAAGCACAGGGTGGACCAGAGTGGGCGGGACACTCATGGACGCTAGGTGGGGACAGCCGGGGGTCTGGACCAACTGGGAGCAGCTCCCTGGTGGTCCCCACGCTCAATGCAGACCGTGGGGTGCAGGCTTCGTGCAGGGCTCTTGACGCGGGGCCGGGCCGTGTGGCTGCCGCCCTGCTGCACCCAGCCGGCTCCTTCAGTGATGGCCCGGAGGAGTGGCAGGCTCCATGCTCGGCCCAGGGCCATGGTGCCGCCTCACCCACACCTCTCGCACAGGTGGTGAAGGGCACCAAGTCCAGGGCTTGTCTTTCAGCTCGGGCTACTGACCAGTGGGGTGACTGCTAACGATCAGTGTTTTCCTCTCTGAAACCAGGATAACATCATCTTACAGGGTTATGAGGAAGAGAAGGTGCCCATTATCATACTGGGTGGAGAGGGGACCAGGATACTCCCTATGATCTTTTGTTCCAGGAGGAGGTTTAGGAAAGGGTCTCGCTGTTTTCCAAGCTGGCCTTGAATGCTCAGCGATCCTCCTGCCTCAGCCTCCTGAGTGCTGGGATCACAGGTGTGCACAACCATGCCTGGCTGTAGACTGCAAACTTGAAATGACAGGATTCCAGTGAGGAAGAGCAGATTCATAGTTGCCTGGGAGGCGGGGAGGGCTATAGAGGACAGCAGGTGGGTTGCTGGCAGGAAACACATCAGAATCATACAACTGAGCAAGTGGACAGCGGCTAGTGAGCACGAGGAGATGTCACCTGTGTCCATGTGGACATCTTGGCGTTGGCCCCAGAGGGCAGCTGTGCAAGGCCTCACCGGGGAGATGGGCTCACAACTGACTGCGGATTTGAAACGATCGCAAATCAAACATAGGAAGACGTTTACCATGGGAAAGTTAGGAAAATGGTAGGTCTTTGGAGGAAGCTGCTGTCTAAAGGCCACAGTGTCTTTGTGAAGGTCATCTGAAGGGCACAGGCTGGGGGGGCAGGGCTTGAGGGCAGGAGTGATGCTGCACAACCCCAAAGCCTGAGCTTCAGTTTCTGCACCTGGAGGGGTACGAGGTCCTGCATTGTCCTCACATCCCCGCAATTGACCCAGTGTCCAAGCGCACCCCTCACAGAGAATCAGGCATGGAGTCTTGTGCCGTCTAGGAGTGCCATTAAAAGCTGCTGGACAGTTGCTACATCTCTGGAGGTTTCTAATTTCAACAGTCACTGGGGGCGGGGGACAGGAGGAAGGTCAGTTCGCTTTCGGGACCCTGTTCTAGTTGCAGTTGTAACAGACGCATTTGCAATAAAGAATCTTTAAGCTGGGCATGGTGATACACGCCTGTAATCAATCCTAGCACTCAGGAGGCTGAGGCGGGAGGATCTCAAGTCTGTGGCCAGCCTGGACTAAAGAGTTGAGAACCTGTCTCAAAAAAGCAAAACAAGATACAAGCATGCTCTCTTTTGTGCAACCATGTACACGGCTTTCCATATCCCGCGTCATCACCAAAGTTCTCTCCATCCCTCTCTTGATTGTCTCCTGCTCTAGCACTCTCCTCCCCTCTCCAGTCCACAGGGCACCCTGTCTCGTTGTTTAAAAAAACATGAAGCGTGATCGCCATACGAGAAAGGGTTTCAGGAAGGCTCATCACAGGCGCTCATTAAAACAGCCCTGAGCTGTCCTGACTGATGTGTAAGCTTTGAAAGGGTTTCAGGAAGGCTCATCACAGGCGCTCATTAAAACAGCCCTGAGCTGTCCTGACTGACTGACTGATGTGTAAGCTCGGAGAAAGGACAGAAAGTTTCCTCCTCAGCCATCACAGGGAGACCCCAGCAGGGCAGGTGGCACCTCCACGCAGACGGCAGGGCCTCTGTCCTCAGAGTCTCGGACACAGTGGACACAGCGAGCAGCACCGTCCTCCACGCAGGCCCCACAGGGCAATTCCAGGAAATCGGCTTTGGTGTTTGGTTTGTATTCATAGGCCCAAACCAAGGTTGTTCGTGGTGAGGCTTTAGTGAGTTTTTAAAACCAAGAAGGATGCACTGCATGGAAAGAACACAGTTAATGTGCTCAGGGATTCTGCAGATAAAGGTATTGGGTTTGTTTTTTCTGTTTTTTGAGACAGGGTCTCACTGTGCATTGTAGCCCAGGCTGGCCTCAAACTTATGGCGGTCCTCCTGCCTCATCTACCCTCCCGAGTGCTGGGATGATGATGTGCACGGGCACTCTGTAAAGCTGCCATTCTGAGAAGGGAAGGGCTCCTCCGCATCCTGGGAAGAAGCCCAGGAGGGCAGTGCATTCTCGCGGCCCTACCTGCGTGATGGCGGCGACCTGCTCTAGTGCCAGGGCGTGGAGCTCCGGCTCCGGCCGTTCCAGCAGCAGCTTCAGGGACGGTAGCGGCAGGGCCCGGTCTCGCAGCAGAAGGCACAGCTCCTTCACACCCTGAAAGACAGGGTGCGGTGAGCAGAGCGACACCCGTCCTGTACCCGCCCTCGGTTCTGAATGCATGTAACGCTCACTCGCAATCACACTGTGCTCACTTCTGGGCCGGGAACGGCTTCGCGGCTTAGAATTCATCTTCCTCGGCTCCCTGAGCCCGGGCCTCCTGGCTGAAAATACCCACGCCCGCCTTTCTGTTGTGTGAGAATCCGAGTCTGCATACCCAGAGCTGCTACCTACTGTGAGGAAAGCTGACAGCTGGAAAGCATCAAACAACACATCCCAGAACATGTTCTGAGGTCTGATGTCAAGGTGTGGCCTGAGACACCCCGCGTCCATGGAATCTGTCTGCGGCGCGGAGCGGTAAAAATGTGTGGGTCTCCATAGGTGCACCTGAATTTTATTCACAGCCTTTATGGCAGACAGAATCTGTTGTTGGAAAATAGACTTTAAAAAAGTAACAAATGAGTCCTTTGCAACAAAACTAACAAAAGTAGAACGTGTATAACAAAAGTATCAAAGAATAAAAAATTGCAGGCTGTTTTGCAGGGCTGAGCTGGCCACCTGGGACGTGTGCTCTGGCTGGCTGGACATAAAGAACACAGCGCTGGGACCCACAGCACAACGAGGGCCACCGCCGCTACAGAGCAGCAAGGGCTCTCCGGAGAGCAGGGCGGAGGACTGAAGCCCGCCACGGGGCCGAGCTCTCTCTGCTACTCCAACAGCAGCAGGAGATGGGAGGACAACTCAAATACATGGTATCCCAATAATTCCCTTGCATTACTATGAAGCAAAGACAGCCCACTGGGGGCTCAGGATGATATGCTCATCGCGATTTCCCACGTCACAGTTTCTCCACTTCCACCCTGCATCCCAGGCTTTGGGGTTGAGGGCCCAGTACAGGGTTGATTCCTAACAGCACGGCAAGCCTCAGATCACGCTGGGCAGCTGGCCCTAGAGAAACACTTGTTTTTTTATGGGGGATGCCGAAACCTGCCAAGGGAGAAACGAACTCCTGAGCCTGGCCCCCCGCCTGGCAGCCACGCCTCGACTTGCTTCCTGCAACCTCCTCTTCCTCTAGCTTTTTCTTTTCTTCTTTTTTTTGGTACTGGGGATTGAACCCAGGGCTCCATCCCCAGGCCTTTTTATTTTTATTTTTGAGATAGGGTCTCGATAAGTTACTTAGCTGTCTCGGCTGGTCTGGAACTTGTGATCCTCCTGCCTCAGCCTCCCAAGAGTACAGGCATTGCCACTGTGCCCAGACTCCTCGGAGGTTCTGACAGCACAGTGGCATGCAGGGGCCTTTCACCCATGGAGGTACCTGCACCGGCACCACCCAGCACTGCAGCCACAGCAACACTTCCTGGGGTGAGGTGGCCATGCACCCATGGAACTGCTTTGTGGTTTTTCATTTCTGCTCCTGGGGCTACAGCTTGGTCTGCTGCACGCTAGGCAAGACCTGTAGGATGTGGCCCACCCCACCCAGGATGGCAGTTTTTAATTTACCTTTGATTTTAATGTTAGCATCATACCACTCTCCCAAGTGGATCTGCCATTCCCTGTTCTTTGAGACGTGGCTTAAGGAGGCTCAAAGGACCCCACAGCTCCAAGGGGAGATGCCCCTGCCTGCACCAGGAGTGCTCTCCTTTTGTCAGCTGTGGCTCCTTCTGCACTGGATCAGCACCCACGTTCACCCAGTGCCTCCCCAAGCTAGCTTGGCACAAACAGAACCTAAACTACCCTTATGGGATCACCTCTTAGCACACACGGCAGTCACCAGTAAAGTCTCAGCAATATGGTCTTCAAAATCAGCCTAACACTGGCAACCTTGGCTCAGGTGGTCAGTTTTAGGGAATGAACTTGTGCCCTCTTTAGGGGCCCAACACACAGCGGAGCAGGGCAGGGCCCCAGGACAAGCCCAATCCCTGAGGGCCACGGAGCACTGGCGAAACCCTCCGTCTTGGCCAAATCCTCTCTTCTACTTGGGGGGTGCTTCCCCTGGATTGCAAGAGGAACGCCTGCTTACTAGGAGATTTAAAAGGGATTAGGGACAAGCAAGGAAGGCCAAAGTGACAGAGAGAGAGAGGAAGCCCTCCCTCCACACCTCCGGCTCACACTTGCTGAACAGCGTTCAAGGGTTCAGCCGGTCAGACCCGGGTCTCTGTGGGCTGTGACCAGGGGGACACGCTGGGGCATAGTTGCCAAGGCTGGAGCAGGACAGGACTGCCAATGCTCCCGCCCTCCAGTGGCCCTCCAGGCCCCTGATCCCCAAGGATAGAGAAGAGGGGAGCCTGGGCACTGTGTCAGGCTCGGTGACACAGCACAAGGGGCTGTTGTGACGCCAGTCCTGCCCAGAGCAGGGAGCTGTGGGCCACTATCTCCAGCAGGGCCCCTGCAGCTGCCCTGATATGCTGGTTCTGCTGGCCCAGGGCGTCAGATTTCAGCCAGCTCTGAGCTCTGGCAGCCTCGTCCTGGCCTAGCTCCTCATCCACAGCCCAGCAGGCAACGTGGCAGCTCTGTGCCAAATGCCACTCACCTAAGCCCAAAGCGTCCAATGACCACGACTTCATTCTGGTTCCTCCTCAAACCCTCGGAGGAAGGGACAAGCTTAGCCCCACCCATTAGACACAGAAAACAGGGGGCCAGGCAGGTTAAAGAATGCAAGCTCTCAGCGTTACTGAAGCAACTGGACCTGGGGGGAGCAGTAGCTCGAAGCCAGCTCAGCGGGCTCCTGGACAGCCGGGACCCTCCCACACCACAGCCACAGCAAAACCGGGCCTTCAGGGTCAGCCACAAAGAGCTGGGACCTGGGATTGTGGCCTCTAAATACAGAACCACCTGAGCCCGGGTTCTTATTCTACGTGTATCCACTATCTACCGAGAAGGTGTCACGTGTTGCCATGGGTATCAGCTGGAAAGAAGGGGCCGGAGCTTTGAAGATAGATGTGGCTCAATGGCCTGGGAGGAGGGGTGGCTTTATATTTCCAGGGACATTTTCCACCCAGAGGGCCCTCAATGCCTAGGTAAGGAAGAACTGTGGGCAGTAAAGAGCAGGGAACATGGAAAGACATTCCTGAGTCATGCAGCAAAGGAAGCCCATAAATGCAGGAGCCGGGGGTAGGACATGGGGTGCAGTAAAAGGCGAATCCGGCTAAGCACCACGTCATCACCAAGCAGCATGTGCATTTCATTACCACAGAGGAGGACAATGCCCAGAAGTGCTGGATTTAAAAAGTGAGCAACACAAAATTTTATCATCACACCAAATGCTGTGGAACTCTGAAACGAAGCCAGGCAACTTCTAAATGAGACAAGAGCGACCTCAGGCCTTTCTGCTTAGTGACGCTCCTCTGTCTGTAACACTGCTGACTCGTGTTCCTGCACAGCCAGCCATCAGTAAAGACAGTACACGCCATCGGTAAGCCTCTCATCACAGCACCTAAGGGCAAAGGCTGCAAATGCTCTGGTGATGGGAGGGAAACTGAGGCAGCATCAAGAAAAATGAAGAAAAGTCACGGTGTCCAGCGGGAACACAGAAGCCACAGTGACCGCCCTGAGATGGGGTCAACCAGGCTGGTGCCCAGAGGAGGCCGGGAGCGAATTGTGTGGTCAGCTCAGGCTCCTCTGGTCACAGATCCTGCGTGGCCCAGGCCCAAGGGCACCGCAAGCTCCAGGCAGACGCACAAGAGGCAGCGAGCAGGGCCCAGCACGCTTAGGCTCCACCTCCCCCACGATGCGTCCAGCAGGAAGTCAAACGTGCCACTGTGACACAGTGGTCACCGGACAGAGGGACACATTTCCCTTTGCTGTCCCAGGTTTCTCTGAGATTTGGAAGCAATACAACACAGCACACGGCTGCTGTGGACACCCAGCCACACCCGGAAACTGACCTGGGGCAGCTCAGAGCTGTCACATGTGGCGTGACAGAGTCCTGATGCTGGGGTCGGGGTTGGAGATGCTGCAGTCTTGCTCGTTACAGGAAAACCAAACCAGTACAGATTTCAAGAAACACAGTGTGGTAGGCAGTGACAGAGAGCCTAAAACTTTAGGTGTAAAATACTGGTAAGCTACACCCTAGAATGGCCTAGAATAGGCCATTTCTGAAGGAAGTATTACAGAAAGGGAAACTGACAATAAAAGCTTATACAACCTGTAATCCCAGCTCTCAGGAGGCTGAGGCAGGAGGACCGCTTCAAGTTCAAGGCCAACCTGGGCTACACAGTGAATTCAAAGCCAACCTGAGCTACATAGCAAGATGCTGTCTAAAAAAAAAAAACTTATAGAACCACCCAAGAACACAGTACACACACATCACAAAAGGAGGAAGAAGGCTCATCACTTTCCTGATGCATTCCACACAGACTTGGTTTGCAGTGTTCACTGTCCAGGGAAGCCAGAGCCAGACCCAGGGCCCTAGGGCCACCATCCTCCCCGCTGTCCCTGGGAGGAGGAGGGGAAGGGGAGACATCAGCGCAGACACAGGTCACCAGGTAGCAGACCCAATTATATGCCACTGGAGGGGCTGCTATTTCGGTGACAGGACTTTCAATATTTGTGGAATAATGCTGTCACTCTGGTGCTTGGGAGACTTGCTTAGATGGATAAGGTATTTTCAAGTTCACTGAAAGAACCCTTATCTAATCATTAAATGTGCATTCATAACAACAATGGTTACAATGAGGATTGAAAGGCTCACACTGTCGAGTTTATCTTGCATTGGCAGAAATGAAACACTAACTCATCAGTGGATGCCATGACCTGAACATTTGGGTTTAAGCCATGTACACTGCCAGATGACGCACTGGTGTGTGAGGTTCAGAGGCGGGTGGAGAGGCACAGACCGAGCTAAGTACCTGCACACCCATGTGACTGAACACACAATGAAAAGCTCGGTGACAGCCAAACCAGAGGGTCAGACAGGAAGCGTCAACGAGGGGCGGCTGGGCTCACAGCACACACTAGAGAATAAAATCGGTGTTCTTCCATAGTAATGCCTGGCCTAGCGGCAGTGGCCGCCCTGCACTCTGGTGTCTGTAGATGTGCCGCCCAGGTCGCACCACAGCTTTCTGTGCACATCCCAGTACTGCATGAGCTATGCCCATAAAAGCAAAGGCATCACGCTAGCGTTTCCTCTGCCCACTTCTTTGTTCTGCATCCTGTGATGCACATACTACACGATTCCTCATTTAGCGACCTGCTCACTCCAAGACCTAGCTCTGGACCTGAGCTCGGTCGTTAACCACGGGTGAGGAGAGTGCACTGGGGTTACGCAGTCGCCCACACTAGTATCAGGGCGGGGACCAGCACCAGCTGTGCTCCGGCGCTCTCGGCAGGAGCCCTGCTGGACTCTGAGCGAAGAAGTGGCTTCTATGAGCTCTTGGTGCTGCTCTTCCCTGCTCGAACCCTGTGCCAGCCCATGCCCAGGTGGCAGAGACCACGCGCCCCGGGTCCCACTCACCTCGGCCGGCAGCATCTGCTCGGTGTGGTTCAGTGAGCGGCACATCTTCAGCACCTCGTCCCCCACGTCCTCCTCGCTCTGCGCTGGCCATTTGTTTAGCATCACGGCCGCCAGCCTCAGCCACGGGTTCCCAGTCAGGCCGGCTCTGACAGAGGAAGGTGCAGGCAGCACCCAGGGTGAGAGCTCTGCCAGTGCTGTGTGCACAAATGCTCCCAGCCACCCTCGGACACACACCACAGCGGGGGGAACAGCAGCTTTCTGGGGGTCAGCGAAGCCTGGGCAACTCAGCCTCCAATTGTGGTGAAGCCACCACGTACGTCTGACACCAGGCACACCTTAGTGGTGGAGCCTGCCTGCCTGTGATCACAGCACCCTGTGAGGCTGAGGCAGGAGGATGGCAAGTTTGAGCCCAGCTTGGGCAATTTACAGGCTAAATGAGACCCTGACTCAAAGTAATAAACATATTTAAAACGGATGGTGATGTAAGTCTGTGCGAAGGCCCTGGATTCGATCCCCAGTTCCACAAACAAAGAACATTGGCTGCTGTCGACCCTGTAAGGGCCACTGTGCCAGGGGAGTGAGGGCAGCCCGGACCTGGAGCAGAGGCTGAGGGAGTGACAGGGCAGTGGACACCCACACCTCGCACTTCGGCTACCCCTGTGTCTGGAACATATATAACTTGCCTTTCTTTTCCTCTATGACTGCCGCTACTCCGTGTTCCACAGAAACCTGGCAAATCCACAAGTTAAAGATGAATTCACCCCAGGGCCCAGGAGTAGGGCCCTCATATTGTCTGTTAAACATGTTACTGTTTACTCCGTCTCCTCAGCGAAACACTAGACTCCGGTACTCGACAACTGGGCTGGTCCTGCCCTTGGCAGAATCCACTGCCAGCCTCTGCAGAGAATTTCACCACTCAGTAACGAGCAGCTTTCCCCGCAGCCAGGTGAGGACAAAGGGCACTGCCTGACTTGAGTGCGGACAGTGATCAGGGGGCTGCATGTCGGGTGTGGAAGGACATCAGAGCAGGGACACAGGACGGGCCAGTTATGTGGAGACAGTGCAGGGCACCGCAGTTACCCCTCAGCTAAGGCACTCAGCCAGCCCAGCGGCTGCGCGGAACCTGCCTCCTCCACCACAGAAGCAGGGGACAGCAGCTTCCTACGCAGGTGTGTTTAGTGAATAAGAGAATATCATGTGACCTCAATGAGGGATTCCTCAGCTCACACAGAGCTCCTGGAGCAGCCCCTCAGACACCGAGGACAGCCAAGGTGTGAGAACGGATAATGTGTCAGCTCACGAGAAAAGGAAAATCACTCCTGAGGTTGCTAAGATCTACCGCGAGAAGGAAGCTTCTCTCTGAAATGTTGAGGAAGGAACAGAATCAGTGTTAGTCTGCCTGTGCTTTTGTGTATAGTCCAGACTGCTCCTTGCACCTTCCCTGCATCTCCGCCTCACTGGTACCTGGGCCACAGACATGCGCTACTGTGCCCCTCTGCCAGGCCAACGAGGTTTCCTTCTTATCTTGATTTTTGCTCTACCGAGATAGGGTCTCACTATGCAGTCTGCGCTGGACTCAGCGATCATCCTGCTCAGTCTCCTGAGTGCAGGGCTGACAGTTGTGCCAGCCACGCTCCACCTGATTCTGCTTTGGTGTTTTGTCTCCCTTCAGGGAGGGAATCCTAGGCGACCACTGCCACTGAGCTGCACTCAGCCCTGTGGCAGCCTACGCCACACAACTGGTGGGGGTGGAGGGAGCCCCGAGTTCTGGGCCCCCAAGCTCGCAGCCCCTGGCCATGGTAAGGAGAGGCACAGGCTTCTCTCCCTGGCTCCCTGAGACGTGTGGTGAAGTCACCCCGAGGGGTTTGGAAGCGGCCAAGCCCGTCTTACTCACTTGCACTCACTCCTCATGGGGGGCCAGGCGTGAAGGAGCAGGGCCAGGTGCTGGAACTCGGCCACGCTGCTGCTGCCGCCCAGGAGCTCCGTGAACAGGGCGCAGCGCTGCTCCTCGCTCGTGACGTCGGCGATGTCCACCTGCGAGGGGAAGCGCACAGCGGACTGGTGAGGAGCCTGCCGGGTGGTTCTGGAAGAATTCACGCTGCATGATTCCGATCGGGTCCTTTTGAAAATGTTCACAATGTGTGGAGCGGAAATTCGACACCATCAACAACTGCTGGGTGCTGGTCCCTGGGGTGGCAGTGGTAGGTGGTGGGGAGCTTCAGGGGCAGTATCTGGGGCCCCAGAGTCACTGGGGTGCATCTGGAAGGGGCTGTGTGACCTCGGCCTCCCCACTGGCTTCTCTCCCACATGTCCCTGTCCCACCAGGATGGGACCCTCCCAATGGGGCCTCAGCAGAGTGGAACCAATGCCAGGACCGCGCCTTGAGCCTCCAGAGCTAGGAATAAACAAACCTCTTTTCTTTATAAAGTTAGCCTGCCTTGGATATCTCATTATAGTCATGAAAAGCAGACTAATACACACACCTTCAAAAGATCTAGGTCTATATTTACAGCAGCACAATTCAGGCCAGCCACATCTTGTAAGCACTCTACATGCCCATCAAGAAATGAATGGATAAATAAAAATGTGGTATTTATACACCACTGAGTACTACTCTGCCATAAAAAAGGATACACCAGAGTCATCTGTAAGAAAACAGATGCAACTTGAGACTATAATTAACAAAAATAAATCAGAGAAACAAGATCAGATATCACTTTGTCTTATATGAGAAACCCAAATAAAGAGCAAAATAAAAGATAATAGGAAGGAAGGAGACGAATCTTTCTCAAATGGGAAGGGGTCTAAGAGATGGAGGAAGAAGGGAAGGGTGGGAGCGGAAGGAATGAGAAAGGACGCCAGATGTGTCACAGGCCCGCAGCTACTCATGAGGGCCACACACGGTGCACTGCAAACGCAGAGATGAAGAGAAATAAAAAAATAAAAATAAGACACAGGTCTAACTCAATTACAAACAGTTATATTAAAAATGTTTAGAATTACCAAACTACGAGAAGGCTTTTGACTTTCTTTACCAAAATAAATTCAGATTAAATAAATTAGACTTTCACACATAACTGGCTTAATGGCACTCAACACGTCATGCTGAAATATGGAATTGTTTTATTTGAAACTGTAACATTTTACCACATTCCAAATTAATTGAAGTTTTAAAAGTTGAAATCTAAAAGTCAGTTTCTAATTTTCACTAGAAAACTGCCAGCCTACATGTTGAATCCCAATTTTTTTCTAATTTGAAATCAGAGATTTTACTAAAGTTCATTTGTCAGACAATGTTTTGCTGTAAATCAAAATAAAATATCCTCCTTCGCATTTCCATTTCCAGTGAAGGAAGCCAAGTACAGAAGACTCATTCTTCCACCCTCTGCATACCAAATGACGGTCCTTTACACAGAGGCAGTCCTAAAACAAAGTGCCTCTTCGGAGCCTTCATGGAGGAAGATGTCAAAAAGCAGAGCATCAGGCCTGGCTCTCCGCCCCGCAGCCTTCCCAACAGTCTTTGTGCCGGGTACAGAAGCTCTGACTGGAGAAATTCTGACTACTGCACCCACAGACCTTGGCATGATGCCCGCAGCACCCTTAGAATGGGCGTTGCCTACAGATCTGCTGAGCTGTCTGCGCTACCATGTGCTTCCCAATGTTTACTTCTGCAGCCACCCTGGCTCAGATGCTGTGGTCTCAGCAGTCACTGCATGGCAGGCTCCGCTTACTCGGTGGCCCACCGTCCTCCCTGTCCTGTAACAGCAGCCCCGCTGACTCCTGAGCAGAAGGCAGAGCCCCACAGTGTGGAGGTCCCACATGCGCTGGTGACCTCACTTTACAAAGAGGAAGCTGCTCCGCTGTCCAGGCAGCAGGCTCGTAAGTGACAGAACAACGGAGCATATAATGATCAGATCGGGATGCTCTGAAACTAGAGGATCCCACAAGCAGGACGGCACTAAGTTACTTAAATTGGTTTATATGTATGAAAGGTTACTGCTTAAAAAATACTGAAAAGCTACTGAAGGGTCTACAGAAGCCAGGGCCCCACATGCCAGGCCAGTTCTGCTTCTAAGTTACATACCCAGCCCATTTTCCAGAATCTATAATTAATGCAGAATAATTAATATCAGTAACAAGCAGCTTCCCCTTTATGTGAAATGCAGAGTCTATCTGGGTTATTTGTTCATATGTGATGTATCTCATTGATTTAAGGAAAAAGTATATTAACTCCTTACCTCACACCATACCACTTTAATACACTTGCTTCATTACTTCTAGTTATCTTCAGTATTTACTTAGGATTTTTAGAAATTAGAATAATATATTATACAAGTAAATAAGGGCAATTTTGACTTTTAAAAAAGTTATATTGACTAGGACCTGGAGAACAATGCTTAAAATGAATCATCATATTGGGCACTTTTATTGTTCCTAATTTTAATGAACACACCTACACATTTTCACAGTTCAAAATTTTAACTGATTAAGCTTGGGGTGGTGGTGAATGCCTGTAATCCCAGCGCTCAGGGAAGGTGAGGCAGGAGGACTGCGAGTCTGAGTCCATCCTGGGCAACTCAATGGCTTATCAAGACCCTATTTTAAAATAACAATAAAGGGCTGGTGATGTGGCTTGGTGTGAAGGCCCTGAGTTCAATCCGTAGTACTGCTAATGCATGAATGAAAAAATGAAACATTTTAACCATGATTAAATCGTATGGTCAGCAGAGAACATAGAACAGAAAAAAGGATTAGTAGACATTTCCCTTATAAACAGTACATTAAAAATAATGCTGCTACCTACTTATTTTAGAAGACAGACTTGGCCAATATATTTGCATACTACATCTAGTAATGCTGCTCAGTAAGAGAAAAATCCACCTTAAGTTGAAGAAATCACTACAAAGCTGACAAGTTATGTAGGAAAAAATTAGAGAAGAAAGAATTATCCTGAAAACACAGAAGTAAACAAATGGCCCTCAGGACCTAGAGAAGCTGTGAGAGTACATGATGAGTATGAAGATTGGGGGAACTTGAACACCCTAAAATGCTTGGAACCAGGAGCCTGGATCAGCTCGGACATGGACCCAGGAAAGAATCAAAACCTCCCTTTTCTAGGAAGTAGGGCATCGCGTATAAAATATACATTCCAGGCATCTGAGTAAGTTTTATGAAAATATCAGAGGCAGAGAGAACTAGCACCAGTCTCCAAAGTCACAACGTGAAACGACTGTGGAACACATCTTACTGTAGAGAGCAAAGTGACTCTAGGTAGCTATCAAATGCTTCAACATGGCTCACCAAAGGGACTGCAAAATAAACGACGGAAGGTCGGTCTGACTGAATATGCAGCTTTTAAACACTGTGGAACAGTTTACTTTGGGGATGCTCCTGCCTTCTTGGAGGCTTAGCTTTTGCTTCTGTAAGAAAAGCATGCACATGCTGATAGGACGCTTGTGAGTCTTTAGTACAATAGTAGTGTTTAAGTAACTAGCACAGAAACTTTGCAAAGTGGGCACACAGTAAACAGCAGGAATCCCTCAAGTTACCACCCAAGTAACACACCAAGTGTAAGAAAGCTGGAAGCTGGATTTGTGCTATGGTTTCTTCTAAGATTTATGTCTACGGGGCGGGGCAGGAAAAGGAGAGGGAAGTGCAGCTAGCTGAGGAAGGTGGAACTGTGGGTTCACTCTGATTCCCTTTTAAAATCTCATTTCTTTGTGTAGTAAAAAATGGTGTCTGAAATCACTCTTAAGCAAGCCTTGTAGTGACTGCAGGAAAATAAACTTGAGAAATCAACTTTTTCATACTTTTCTTTTTACTTTGTCCTTTCCCAAAGTGAACAGGAAAGCAACACAGCTTCTGTTAACACACCTTGTCCTGCTGGGTAAGGGAAACGACCACTGTGTCTAGGCAGCTGTAGGTCAGTGACTCTTCCACAATGGCACAGTGAGCAAAGCTCCATGAAATCCTGAAGGGCAAAACTCCTTCGCAGTCTGACTGCGAGCACGGACTGTCTCTCCTCGTCTGTCTCTCCGAGTGTGGTTCTCGCCGAAGCAGGTGACTGAGGCCCTTGCCATGCATCAGTTTGTCAAGTGGAGCAGCTGCCTGTCAGGCAGACTGGCTGTCCTCAGGAGTGGAAGAGTCCCCTCTCCTCAGCGGAAAGCAATCCCGTACCCCATGCTCCTCTGAGGCTGGAAAGCCAGCCACACTCCTCAAGGGAAGTTGCATCTTCCTGCAGTCCTGCCCAGTACCTGCTGTATCTTTGGATGCTTATAAATGGAGACGGCGTTGGCATGTAGAGGGCTTACAAACAGGCAGTAATGATAGACCTTCCAGGGCCAGCAGTGGTGACGCTAATTGCCACTCCTTAAGAGCTGGAGAGCTGCTAGCCTACTTATGAGAGAATCACCATAACCCTTGATTTAAGGACACAAGGCGGCTGTGGTTCTTTTCAGGAATAACAGGAAGTCTGACCGAGATGTCTTTGTGTGCAAGCCTTCGAAACATAAACAAAAACCCTCACTTCAGTAGGTTTCTAGAAGCAGAAAAAGGTGACAGTGGTGGCCTCTCACAATACTGGACCTGTCTGGTCAAGTTGCTCCTTGGAGGAGGTTTCGGGAGCAGGGAGCCCGCTGTGTTCACCCGGTCTGAACAGCCTCTGGAGAAGGATTTGGAGTCCAAAACCAGTCATGAGCTGGTAATGAGCAACCTGGCTCAATGATTTTGGAAGCACTTAGACCAGTGTGTGCACACAGTGAGTGCTTTGTTGGCTATTCCTCTTCATTACAGAATTGCTATTGTTACACAAGAGGAGATAAATGGAGCATGAATCACAATTTGATTACTCAGTTATTTATGTATTTTATTAAAAAGAAAATACAAAGATGGAAATATGCTGGGTGCAGTGGCGCAGACCCATAATCTCAGTTACTCAGGAGGCTAAGGCAGGAAGACTGTGGGCCACCTCACAGAGAGACCCTGTAGCCTGTATCAAGATAAAAAATTTAAAAAGGGGTCTGGGGATGTAACTC